GGGAAGAGGAAGCCGGAGGAGGTTCAGGTATCTACGGGATCGGGCAAGAGGCCCAAGACATCAGACTCTAGATCGAGAGGTCCTCAGGACCGGGGCCGCTGTGGCAAGTACGGCAGGACGCACGAGGGTGCGTGTAGGAGTGGCAGCAGTGGTGATTCTGGCTGCTTCAAGTGCGGCCGGATTGGTCATTTCAGCAGAGATTGTACTGCTACCACCACCCAGGGATCAGACCTGTTATGTTTCCATTGCAGTCAGAGGGGCCACAAGAAGGCCCAATGTCCGAGTTTTCATTCGGCAGGACAGGTGATAGCACCTGCCCCTGCAACCATGAGGATCACCGACGGCCGTCAGGGCCAGGCAGAGACGCCTGTAGCAAGGAGCAGGGCGTATCAGTTGGTTTCCGATGAGGTGTGAGCAACCCGATGTGTCAGGTACATATCTTCTTTCATTTCTCTATCAGTTTATGACATGGTCTAATTGTTATGGTTCTGCATCGGTATTGATAATGATATTTCGGAATTTTGTGGTCTGCTTGTGATTAATTTATATGTCATCTGCATACCTTGGATGTTAGAATGATAGTTGGAGGTCGTCTCCTTGGGAGTGGGTTACTTAGGATGCATTACCTGTAGCATGCCTGTGAGGGGCTCGATAGTGCCTCGCTAGTTCGGGAAGGTGTCGTTTGGAAATGGATCGGTTAGATCCCTAGTTGTGGTAAGTCGGGTTTTCAGCGAAGTGATCAGGGGATGGTAGGAAGAATTGGAAATTCTTCTGAGCTATGAGTTGTGAGGAGCTAGTCTAGTCGAAGTAGGGGAGAGCCGTCCGTGTGGCCAAGGATAGAAGTAAGTACAAGACTGGGGTGGTTTCGCAGTCTTGGTAAGGAAGGAAGCAGTTCAAGTGGCTATTTGGATGGAGGATCAGGTTAGTTGGGAGTTGGAGAAACTTTCCAACCTTGAGTTTGTGTATTCATGTCTAGCGGGTGACTGGTTCAGGAAAACCAGGTCGCAGAACCTTCGCCAGGTGTGAGTTTAGGCGGGATATAAACTGTAGGGTAGCCGCAGCATTCCCCAGCAGCAAGTTGTAAGGAAAGTGATGTAAGACTGCGGGTAGGCCGTAGCATTCATTAGCAGATTAGTTCGCGAAGTGCGGGCGGAGGCCCATATCTCCTAGTCAGCGATGAGGATCAGGAAAGGCTAAGTCGTTGAGGTTTAGTATGGAGTTGGTCTGCATAGCCCTTGTTAGGTGAGGCCACTCCAGTATGCAGTTGGGTGGGACCCGTGGGCGAGGCCCGTATGTTAGCAATAGTATAGGTGAGACCTAGGAGCAGGATTGTTCAGTAGTATAGTTTGGGTGAGACCCGCGGGCGAGGTCCGTGCGACAGTAGTTAGGCAAGCGAGACTAGAGGGGAGGATCGCTCTGGAATATAGTCGGGTGAGACCCATGGGCGAGGCCCGTGAGATTATAGCAATACAGGTGGGACCTGGTAGGGACCTTAGGGTCAAGATAGGGGATCGAGGATCCCAAGACTTGTAGCGCCAGAGTGGCTGGATTGATAGAGCAGTGTAGATAGCCGAAGTTTCTTCGGAAGTCGCTGGGAGTGACTAAGAGATTGTGCTAGTTATAGTGATCGGTGAGTATCCGGTAACCCAGTTATCGGCAGAATCTGTAGAGGGACCAGGGTGGTCTCGGTCCATTCGGAAGGCGAATGAGAAATGGCAGGACTTTAAGGCAGGAAAGTGACGACAGAGAAGTATGGTGTGGGACAGCTAGTTGACCGAGGAGTGCTACGCCTCTCGCCGTACGGTTGGATAATCTCAGAGGGAATGATTTGACCCTGCTGCGCAGCTCTCGTTGGAGTCTAACCGTTACAGGGATGAATCTTGTACTCGCAGGATTATCTGGTCCATACGCTGGGCTGGGTGCTCAGCGCCAAGTTATAGTAGCATGAAGTGATCGGTGGGTATCGACAGTAGTGACCAGCACGGGGAGTGGCTGGAGTAATGGATACCATGAAGGATATGTCTTTCACAGTGGTAGAGGAGGTGGTTCGTGGTGGAACGTTGCCTTGGGAAGGCCAGAAAACGCGCAAGGACAAAGGGGGTGAACCCCTAGGATTTCAGCATAAGTACTCGAGGAGTACTGGGAGGATCGTCAGTTGAGAGAGTTGTGTGCTCAGGATTGGCGGGATTTGAGTGCACTTGAGGATTGATAACTACGAGGACTAGTTTTATTCTGGGTAACCGGGCGGAAGGTCCATGAGAGTGGTCGTCCGGAGTTATAGTCATCAGGCAGGGGTGATGTGAGCGGATTGTAGGACAGTTGGCTGTAGAGGACTTCGAGGACGAAGTCTAGTTTAAGTGGGGGAGAGTTGTAACACCCAGAATCAGAAAGACCAAGAAAAGAAAGGAAAAGCTCTAAGTCATGAGTCAACTCGTCGAGTCTAGGAAGGAACTCGACGAGTCGGAGCGGGATCCGGGGTATAGAGTAAGTGACCGACTCGGCGAGTCGGCTAGTGGACTCGACGAGTCTGGTCTGGGCGAGAAAAACCCTAATCCCGGGGGTTGTGCCCTATTTAAATAACATTACATCCCTTCCCCAGCCTCTTTACTCCCCTTTTGAGATCCAGAAACCCTAAATCGTGAGTGAGAGCCCTTGGAAGCAATTTAGAGCCTAGATAAGTGATTTTGGTGGAAAGGGGCTTGAAGATCAAGAGGCTTGCTGCAAAGGAGTGGTGTAGATCCGGGATCTACTTCAGTTGGAGCATATATTGGAGGTAATAAGCTGTTGCTTTGGCTTTATTGCAAATAGATCTATCCTATGTTTGAGTTTTGGGGCATTTTGGGCATGATTGAGATCTATGTCGAGTTAGAGGCCTAGATCTGAGGTTGCTACCTCAGATCTAGACTTATGATGGTCCAGAAGGTCATAAAGTTTATGTCAATAAGTTATGGGTGAAGCCCCTTTGCCTTAAACCCTAGCCCTAGAGTGTTTTGGGCCTTTAGCTCCTTGGTTTCACGTAAAGTTTGCAACTTTACGTGGGGGATAGACTGTAGAAGAGTGGATCTATGGATTGGAGCTCCTGCATGGCTCGAAAAGCCACTGTATGGATTGAGAACTGGAGAGACTCGGCGAGTCACATGGGTGTACTCGACGAGTTGTATGAATATGTGCATGGGCTCGGCGAGTTGGAAGAACAACTCGGCGAGTCTGTTGAAGATTGCCTAGGACTCGGCGAGTCTATTCTTGGACTCGACGAGTCAGGTCGTAGAACCCCCAACCTCTTCTGGTTAAGACACAGATCAATGAGTTGAGCGGTGACTCAGTGAGTTGGACAGGATGGGACTCAGAGATCGTTGAACTCGACGAGTCCTGGGGTGACTCGGCGAGTTGGGTCGTATTTTGAGAGCTTCTGAGTTTAAGGACTCGGCGAGTCTTCGGGTTGACTCGACGAGTCGAGTCAACTGGAAGGTTGACTTTGACCAGGACTTTGACTTTAACCAGAGTTGACTTAGTTTGACTTCTAGAGTTCAGTTTGGAACAAAGTGTTATATTGATAATAGTAGCTCGGGGTGCTAGTGAAGCAGCGGTTCAGAGAGTTGTCGGACAGCAGCCAGAGGGTTATCAGCAAAGTTCAGCAGTGCAGGTGAGTTTCCCTTTGTGTGGATGGGTCTACGGCCACAATGCCGGCCCATGTAGTTATGAGTAGGAAGACCCGGGGGTTAGCCCTAGGCACAGTATGCTAGTATGACATTCGGGACTAAGGTCCAATGTTAGCGGGCGGGTGCCCAAGGAATGGTTTGTATGATAGTTATACTTGTTGTCTGTGTGATACATGTATGTGCCTGGTAGGGAGGTGAGTGTGGGCGAGGTCCCGTATCTCACCAATAGCAGAGTGTGGACGGTGTTCCATACCTCATTAGCAGCAGAGCAGGGGCGAGGCCCAAGTTAGGAAAAGAGTGAGTGTGGGCTGGGCCCGTATCTCACTATCAGTAGGAGCGTGGACGGGGTTCCATGATTCATCAGTAGCAGGACTGGGGCGAGGCCCAAGATAGGCGAGGCCTTAGTACAGTGAACCAGTAGAGTATGTTAGTTATGTGTTGTGATATGATTGTATGCTAGTATATGTTAGCGGGCGGGGTCCCGGAGACAGGCAGGGCCTAAGGAAAACAGATCTGTACGCCGAGCGGGGCTCGAAGCCAGGCGGGGCCTGGGCCAGGTGGGGCCTGGTGACAGACGGGGTCTGATAGCGGGCGGGGCCCAATGCAGCGAGCGGGAGCCCAGTATGTGGTTATGTGCTCAGTATTATGTATAGCATGTATGGATCAGTAGATATGTATGGTATGCGGTAGGTTGGGGAACTCACTAAGCTTCGTGCTTACGATTTTCAGTTTTGGTTTCAGGTATTCAGTTTTCAGAAGAGGAGCTCGGAAGGGTTGCAGTGCACACACCACGACAAGTTAGCCTGGGATGTTTACTCTGATAATTAAACAAGTGTTTTGGAAATGAAAATATGATTTGTCATATAAACCCTTTTAGTATGTTTGAATGACTTAACGCTATGAATCAGTAATGTTTTTAAAAGAAATTTTTGGACTCGAAATTTGGGATGTTACACTCAGGCCCAAAGATTTAGGGTTTCTGCCAACAGCGCGGACTCGTCGAGTCGCCTCACCGACTCGTCGAGTCCATTCATTAATCCGAGTCATCAGTCGCGACCTTACTCGACGAGTTAAGGCGTCAACTCGTCGAGTCCCTCTTCTTAACTCAAAAGAAAAATACTTAAATTATGATACCTGGAAATCCGGATGTTACAAAATAAAATAGTATACTGGTCTTACTCTAAAACTTGGAAATAAACTTAATAAAAGGAAAGGTTCCAAAAATAACCCCTGCACCATATCTTGAATTAAACAAACACTCATTTCAGAGCTTCCCATCCATCTTCATAAGCACAAGGATACAGGTATTCTGGTGACCGCATGTAGTTTACTTAAACCACCATGCCTTTGATGATTCCAGTGAGACGGCAACAGAACGTGTCTGTTAGCAAAGAAATGAGTGATGAGTGGAAGAAGATTAATACCAAGACGATTTTGGTGGTGCTCAGTGGCTTTTTTGAGTTCAAAGACTCCAACTTCGGGTTGACATTATTCGTTTTCTGGCGGGGAGCATCAATAAATCCGGTTGAGAAGACTGGTGACGATGTCAACTACATCAAAAGAGTAAACACCATCCATCAGAATGTTGTTGACCGCCACTTTTCGGTCAAGAAACTCCTTTAACTCACAATTGAAGGTGTCGTCTGGTCGTCTGAACATGTTATACGCTAACTTGATGTTGGAAATTAGGATTCATGTGTGAAGTGACATTACTTTCTATAAAAAGAAAAGCAAGACGATGGAGAAGAAAATGAGTAAAGTGGAATTTTCAAAGACCCATTTTGATTTTGATGTATTTTTTGTAGAAGTGACAGACTTACCGGTTTCTATCCTATTTAGCATACTTAACCGGTTATAATGGGTTCATTACCCAAATTAACCGGTAAAACGCAAGTAGACGCCCCTTAGATGCAAAAAATAAAGATGAATGACCTTTTAAAACAAAAATTATAAGTTGGTTGGGCTACGGTGACAATAACCCTTATATTAATTAAAAAAACAATATTATAGTTTTTTTTTATAATGACATCAATTAAAACAATCAAGTCGATCAAGCGGTCGGTTTTAGAAGAATGCTTGAGTACTAATCTCATGTAGCAGCCTAGCAGGTGATTGGATGAGAGCGACAGTGAAGGGGGCAAATATGGGTGGTGCCAAAGTTAAGTCTGAACCAATGAACAAAATAGAAACATGGAGTTTTCTTTGTTTAACAAGATGGAAGCGTCTGCATTTGATTGGAAGTAGTAGGAGGTGGAGCAGACCAATGATTAAAGCTGTCAATCCTTCAAAATAGTATGGCCAAAAGTCTAGCACACAAAAAATTTACTATTGATAAAGATCATCTTATATATAATTTTGTGCCAAAAGTAAAATACAATAATAACAGTGTTTTTTACACGTATAAAATTTTCGCTGCAAGCCGCATATATAAGTTTTAGTTAACACTAATTTCTCGGACCAAATCTGTCCAAAAAATTTAATAAGAATAGTTTTTGGTAAGCGAAAGTGGGGCATAGAATACGATACAATACCGTCTTTGTCTCTCTCGTCTCTCCATAGTTCAAAACCCAAAAAAGGCAAACCTGTAAATCGTACGAACAATTTCGATTTCGGCATCTTCGATACCTTCACAAGTCTTCCATCTCTGCCTAAGAAACTATGCAACCGTATCGTCACCTCTACTTCTGGTATGATTCTACCTATTTTAGGTTTCCTTAGTTTTTTTTTTTTTTCATGATCAAGCTTTATCAATGTTGTGTTCGCCTTTGAAATCTAATGTCATCATATCTCTTTGTTCTCTGTCTCGCGTTTTTACGTTTTTGCAGTCAGCATTTGATTATTATTTTTTTTCAGTTCCAATTAAACAGATCTGTTCGTTACTCCATCATTTTCAGAAATATGATATTTAAGGTGAAAAATACTCTTTAAGTTTTGGAGAAAATCTCATTATATAACCTAAAACCATCTCAAATAGTATAGATACAGCAACATTGTTACTGAAACTACTCTTCACCCGTTAAACCCTAACTTTTTATATATGTGCAGTCATTTACAAAAGCGTGGCATCATTTTCTCAAATAGTTTTTAGACACCATCATTCTGACAAAACCTAATGGCCATTCTATTTCTTCTAATCAATGATAATTCGTATATCACAGAATCCAGTTTCCACATGTACACCTCATTTACATTCGTAAATATGTTCCAGATTTTGCAGAAAAACTTATAATTCTGGAGACAATCATGTTCGTGGTTGGATCAAAGAATTTGGGATCTCAAATTAGCATACTTGATGTTTATTAGAAGGAACAACATGGGTCGAGCATCTACACCTCTCTTGATTCTAATAGCTCTTGGTTTCTTCTTTGGTACCTATAATTTGGTGACTCTGGTAATTCACCATACAAGTGATTCCCTGAAATTAAGGGACAATGGTTCAGAGTGGTTTCATGATGCCATTAGAAGAATCACAGAAAAAAAGAATTTAAAATACCATGTTGCCCTTACAGCCACAGATGCACCTTATAGCAAATGGCAGTGTAGGATTATGTATTATTGGTATAAAAAGGTGAAGGACTTACCTGGATCAGATATGGGAGGTTTCACTAGGGTTTTGCATTCGGGAAGCTCTGATAATTTGATGGAGGAGATTCCAACTTTTGTGGTTGATCCTCTTCCTGATGGACTTGATCGGGTGAGTGTGAGTCATCTTTTTTCTTATAAAACAAAGGTTTATGGAAGGGCTTAATGGAACTTCTGTTTATTTGATTATAATAAACAAATAGTGATCTTTTTACATCATCTCCTTCACATGATAATTGTTATTTGTAGGGTTACGTTGTGTTAAACAGACCTTGGGCTTTTGTGCAATGGTTAGAAAGAGCAACAATCGAGGAAGAGTGAGTTTTGTAATATTTTAAGACTGGAAATTAAATTTGAGTGGATTTTAAAAAAATAGAGCATTCTATTACTGATGAATGCAGATACATTCTAATGGCAGAGCCTGATCACATATTTGTAAACCCTTTGCCAAATTTGGCACGTGGAGAGCATCCAGCTGGATTCCCATTTTTTTACATAAAACCAGCTGAAAATGAGAAAGTCATGAGGAAATTTTATCCAATGGAGAAGGGTCCTGTCACAAATATTGATCCAATTGGCAATTCTCCAGTAATTATTAGCAAGGTAAATCCTTATTTACTTCATTTCCATACAACTTTTTTCATTTTGTTAATTTTCATTTGTCAGCCTGCCATGGGTTGTTTTTTCTTTCCATCATGGAATGAGAAATTGCAATATAACTCATTCTCTCTTATGTAATCTTTAATAACATTTCTGGTCATGCTTTTAGTCCCTGGGGTATCTAAGTTAACAAGCCAGGTGTTCATTTTTTGAAAATGACCATTATGTCCTTGTCTTCCTCAAAACCCCTAGTTTTCTTTCTTTCAGATTTAATTGATTTTTTTTGTTAGTATGGCTTTTAAAGAAGTAAAAGAAAGAAAATTAGGGTTCTTGAAGGAAGGATAAGGAATCTAAGAAGACAAGGGCATAATGGTCATTATCAAGACATAAGTGAATGAAAGTAACTAGAATGGGGTAGTTGTTGCATTAACCAAGCTTTTTGATTTGTGTACTTAAATGTTGAAGTTGTTTTTCAGCATGTTTTGGAGAAAATTGCCCCCACATGGATGAATATTTCATTGAGAATGAAAGATGACCTGGAGACTGATAAAGCCTTTGGGTGGGTACTGGAAATGTAAGTCTGTCTTGTTATGTTATGGTATGTTTGATAAAATTTTTAAAAAAAAAAATGAATTTTTTTTGTTGGTTTGAATTTTGTATGGATGAAATAAATAGGTATGCCTATGCAGTGGCTTCTGCATTGCACAATGTCCGGCATATTCTTCGTAAAGACTTGATGTTGCAGGTTTGTTGCATTATTCAATCTTCAATTATTTTTTGCGTTTAATCCTTTTCTATTTTAATTTTATTTGTTGGATTTTTCAGCCTCCATGGGATGGAGAAGTTGGGAAAAAGTTCATTATCCATTACACGTATGGTTGTGATTACAACATGAAGGTAAATCTACTTTCACATATTCTGTCAAACAATCACAAACCAAATAGTTAATTTTTTTGACTACAACACTACAGGGAGAGTTAACTTATGGGAAGATTGGGGAATGGCGTTTTGACAAAAGGTCATATCTTCGTGACCCTCCACCCAGAAACCTCCCTTTACCTCCTCCAGGAGTTCCTCAAAGTGTCGTATGTCTTTCTAAAAACTGGTTTTCGTTTCAATTTCTTAATTTGCATTCTTTCTATTCCATCAACATTATTTTCATCCAAGTAATTTTTAATCACACAAAAAATCCCTTATTTTAATTAAATTACAATTTATTCCCATTCCTATAACAAGCCAGGCAATCAAACATGATATGATATTTTTGCAGGTAAGACTAGTGAAGATGGTGAACGAAGCCTCTGCTAACATTCCTGGATGGGACAAATTAAATAGTTGAGATGTCAGATAATTATTAGTTAGCAGATCTGCATATCCTACTTTTGGTGCATTCATACATACACCTACGTATATATCACATCACAGATAAGATAACCTACTTTAGAATCCGCAAATTTTAAGGCTTCTTTATGCTACAACGTATTTTTGGGACCATTGATCTGATATGATATGATTAACAACCAACTCGTAGAATTTTATTTTCAATAACACAAAATTTGCAAAATGTCTCACTTAAAGACACAGTGGAACAAGAAAAGATTAGTTATTGATTTAAACTGTGTATAGATTATAGAAGACATTAACAATTAATCTTCTCATTCTCATTCTCATTATTGAATATAACCACACAAAGTTTTACCATATGTATGAAATGCATAAGGATAGACGGAGTCAAAATGGTGGTATCTTGGGTTACTTAAGCCTCTGTTCTCTCTTCTCTCGATTTGTAGCATGTGCTGTGAAACGTTGGGTTTGGACTTTGGAGGGATAGATTTCCATATAGTGAGTTTTGGGAGGTTGATAGTCTACTGATGTGGCATGTGGGTTGGAAGGGGTGGGAGAGATGGAAACAACTACATACACCTTAAAGTTCATACAGTTTGCTTTGCTTTTTGGAAGGATAACAGGCAAGAACCTGGGCATCATTGGGAGTTGTTGAAATTTTATAAACGTCTTTCTCAGTCAAACGGTTGATGCATTTCAACACAACTTGTTTTGATGAAGATACATAAAGAGAAATTAAATATCCTCTTTACTTTTACCTTTACCTTTTACCTTTTTATTTTTACCTATGTGAAATAATGACAAGTGTTTTAAAATATTACGGATATTTAATTTCTCATTATTTAATATCAGGAAGACTTGGATATGTGTCACAATGTTTGGCAACAAACATTTCTATGCCAGCCGAAGTGCACCAACCAATCCAATATCGGTTCAACATACTTCATGTTAAAAAAATTTAATCATTAATATAATAAAAATAAAAATAATAGATAAAAAGTTACACTAACCATTAACTTAATATAAAAACAAATAATAATAATAATTATAATAATTAGGGATGAGCATCGGAACCGGCCCGGCCTGAACCGGAACCGGCACAAGAACCTAACTTGGTGGAAAATAGGAACCGAATTAGACTACCGGTTCCGGTTCCAACCGGTTCCTGGTTTCAAAAATCCACAAGAATATCATCATGGTCCCGGCCCAATCGGTTCCCCGGTCTAGGGGTGGCAAATCGGGTCGTGTCGTGTTTTTGTCTAACACGCACAAACACGACACGATGTCGTGTTTTTTTAACTAACACGAAAATGAACCATTTAAAAAACGACAAACACGACGCGACAAAGATAAAATTAAAATAAAATTTAGTTTATTTATTTAATACTTAATTATATATAACACGAAAAGCACAAGATACAAATGCTAAATTTTATCAATTTTGTATCGAATTTTGAACACGACACGACGTTGTATTTTTTACAATTGACACGAACAAAAACACGAACACGAATTTGAATTTCAGTTTCGTCCCAATTTCGTTTTGTGTCGTATATTTTTGTCGTGTCGTGTCATCAATTGTCACCCCTACCCCGGTCCAAATGTTCATCCCTAATAATAATAATCATTATTAATATATCATATCATGAGCTATGGCCTTCAATGCAATTATATATTTCTTTTCTTAAAAAAAAACTATGGAAGGATCCCGTGTTTGCGGGAGTTAAGAGTTAGAAAAGATATACATAATGTACAATTCAAAGAATATTTTTTTTGTTTGGTGCATAAAGTAGTAAAATAAGGGTATATAATAAATCATTACAAAGACCTGAAAATGTGTCATTTCAAGAAACATAAAGAAAATAGCAATATACCACCTGGGACTTGGAGAAATTATGACATCGACATTCTTGAAGATCTCCAAGTGGTAGTACATAATCTTGTGCCTGCGATTTTAAAAATACTTCCATTCAATCAAATCATGGACTTTCAAAAGAAAAAATTGCATTTAGTCCAAACATGGGCTTTATAAAAGGAAAACGCCCATTTTGGACATTTTTGCCCTTTTGTCCCATTTTTATAACTTATTCCAAATACCATGCATTCTTGTGTTCACTGAATGTTATCTAACCCAATAATGTAAAGATGGTGTTTAAGATACGGATAAACTGCTTTTAATATTACGACTTCTCAAATCTGAACAATAATAATTTAATAAAATATAAGAAACTCAAGTTCATAAAAAGTTCACATTAAAAAGAAGACACGGATAAAGTTAATGCCAATACCATGCATTCAAAGGGTAAAAGTGTAAAGAAAATGAATATGATATATAAAATCAACATATCAGTAACTATTTATGCACACATACACTGCTGATTTCTTTAAAAAAAAAATCTAATAACTCATGTTTGTTATACCCTCAACTACCAATAAAATTAAAATTGTGAAGGAAAGGTGGCCACCTCCTTTTGATCCTCTGCGCCCCCCACATGTGTCCAATTAATATATCATAGAAGATGAGATAGATGGATAACCCAAAATGTTCTGTTTTATTTTCATATATGACTAATTTACCCTTTTATCTTCATTTCACATACTAACAAAACAAAAATTAGCATCAATATTATATCTTATGATTCTTATCATATGTGGTCTAATCACATTATCTTGATTAATTTTAATTTAATCTACTTCACAAATTATTAATAATAGTAGTTTAGAAGAATAAACATAAAAACATTATTTCTTTCGTCTTAAATATACCAAAATGATTTATTTACATTGTTAGAAAAATAAAATAAAATTGAAAGAACGCGAATGTAATTGATAAATAACTTATAACTTTTTATTTCAATATCCCTCTAATCATAAACCCGTAGTTGACATGGAGCTAATTACTTAAGATTAAAGTATAGCGTCTTTGAACCGATACACTATTTTGACTATATCAAATGGACAGAAAAATAGTGAAACCGTTTGACTGTTTGACTGCATAAATATATTTTGCTGTAATGGTATGTCAAGGGCAGCTGCTCGAGCAGTAGAAGAGTGTCTCATTTCGTGTTCTATAAAGCTCTGTGTCTTACAACATTGGTGGGGCAAAGACTATATTACCCTCATCATCTGAATACATGTGCATTATTTCCTCTCTGTTGAAAAAAGATTTATAGATTTATACCCAAAAAGATATGGATACTAAATATTAATATTATGAGGAAAAAGTATACCCATGACATTAACTTTATAGGCTCTGGACTCTAACCATGGGCGTTTCTTGTAAAAATAGGATATACTGAATCACGTGAGTTCACAAGAAAGATTGCTAAAGTTATGTTCAACTATAGAAAAGGTTGTATACAATAGCAAGGATACATAGCCTCTATTCAACTCCAAAAACAAAACCGGAAAAGAAATTAGGGGTAAGATAGCTACAATAAAAATCAAAGTCTAAGCTACTTGAAATCCGAAATTATACCTGGAATTCACAACTCGACCTTGAAACCCCTTTCAAATTCAGCCAATTCCAGCTATAGATAAAACCAATAATGGGTCCTCAAATATGGCTTCTTTAAACATTGCGAGAGCATGAACTGCAAAATTCAAGAAATCTTACAAACCCTAATCGAATTTCTGACTACATTGCTAAAATTATCATTATTCGGGATCATAAAGGTTTAAAAGATAATGTTTTTAGTGATTCCAGAGTTGAATTTGTTCAAGATCTATGCGAAACTACAAATTAAATGAGATATATGTACCTTCAATTGGTTGACCAGCATCGGTAGTAGCTAGAAACAGTCCGAAAGTAATCAAAAAAAGTTTTAATAGAATCGATCGTTTCATCTTAATCTCTCTATCACTTGCAACTTTCTCTCTCTAGAACACTATGAAGTCGTCAAAGCAGGAGTGTCCAAGAAATTACATGAAAACCCATGAAATAAGAAGATTCGGGGACAAGATGGAAAGAGAAAATCAAGATTTTGGAGAACAGCGGTTGATAAAGAATATTTATCAAGTAAATCAAGAACAATAGTAAGCCGACTCAAAGGGTTTTCAAATCTCTGAATCGTTTAGCGAATCCTCAAAGAAAATCAGTAGATGGGTATGGCAAAAACGAAAGAAAGAATCAGAGAGAAGTATCAAAGACAGAGGGAGGGGTGGAATTGAAATGAGAGAGAATGTTCGAGAGGAAAGCAATCCCGGAGAGGCGGTGATGGATGATCATCTGTTGTCTGTGTAATTTGAAGAGTGCGGCACGTAGATGGTAGACACCCAGTTCATTACTCGTGTAATCCATTAGAAAAAAATAAAAATAAAAAAATAAAAAAATAAATAAAAAAACAATCACATGCAACTACTATTCACTAAGATACCTCATAATTAATATATATATATATATATATATATATATATATATATTAAAGAAATTAAAGTTAGGAACAGTAAAGAATGTGGTGATTTGGCATAAATGGTCCTTGCAGTATTCTGGTGTCTCATATTAATATATATATATTTAATGTTCATTTAATGCAGTATATGATGTTTTCTACAAACTTTCTATACACGTGTTTGTCGACTTTTTTGTTGACTGTTTTGGTAGCCAATCCCAGTTGGATTGGTGTAATCACATAGGGTACTGTTCATGCAGTTAGTTTGCCTAGGTTAATTTACCGTGGTCACCGCCTCGGCTCTATTCTTATTCCATCGCTTCTCTTCTCGATTCTTCTTCTCAGTTAAACCTGAAAAGGCTCTCACCACCACCACCCTAGAGGCGACCGTTCACCACCACCAGCTTTAATCCTTACTTCCACCGCCTTACTCGACTGAAGGTTCACCATCGCTCCTCTAAACCTCTCTCAAAGCGACTCTCCTACCTCCACCGCCGACGGTCGGTGTTGTTATTCACCATCGATGGTGGCGATGCAGCCAAGGGAGAGAAACCCTCTCCAATTGCCTCATGCATCGATAAGCAGACAGGAAAAAAAGAACAACATTCGCTGGCGCTGCTGACCACTGTGGTGGTCCGACGGGCTTGCTAACAACGGCGGTCGCAGTTCAGGTAGAGGACGGTGGTAATCGGATTTTACTTCCAGGTCATCGTGCCCGGTTTCACTTCCATCTTTATCTGTTTTGTGCATCATATGTTCTCGATTCTTCTGATTTTTTCTGCTTCATTCTTTTTTCTCGCCTCTTCTCTCAAGCGATCATCAACCACACCGATGGAGACAAAGCTGACGATCGCCCCACCGCCACCATCAGAATCTACGTCCACCTCCATGATCGAAACTACACCAAAAATGTAAGAAAAAAAAAACTGTAATAAGCAGTTTTTTGCTCTTAAAATAGTCGATAGTTGGAACAGTAATTTAAAATGGAGGTGGTCGTAGATTCTGATTCTTCTGATTTTTTCAGTGGCTTATTGGAACAGTAATTTAAAATGGTGTTACAAAAGGTTCTATTTTTTTTTGTTCAGTGTTGGTATCAATTGTTTGTGTTGTTATTGTCATGGCCTATTAGTTTTTCCATGTCTGATTAAGATTGTAATCTAACATTTCTGAATGCACATTAGTAGTTTGAGAAAATGCCTGAACTAGGCTACTGATTTAGAGACCAATTCTTATTCTGGCTTTACAGTTCCATGTTTACTTTAGCCATGGGATATGGTTTTCAACCCATGTGTTTTAATTATGTATGATTTCACAGAGTGCATATATTGTCATTAAAGAACTTAGTGGGTAACAGGGGGTTTGAAAAACTTGAAACATATCGACTCTTCTCACATCTACAGGTTACAAGGTTACAGGTGGAACTATGGGGAAC